AGAGTGCTTGAGTGACTGCCTCCCTGGGAGCTAACACCCAGCTAGCACAGGCAAGAGTCCCTCATGCTGGGGTAAGGTAACAAAAAGGTGACTCTTAGCCCTAGGTGCCCTGATGGATGGATATCTGGGTCATCCGATATACCCATAAGTATTAACACCAAACTGTGTTTTCTTAGTTGTCTGGCACTTCTCCAGTGTTTTAAGACTTGCGTTAAAACAGACCAAGCTCCTTGGCCACCTCTTTTAAAACTCTTAGATTCAAGTTATCTGGACCTGCTATTTGTATTAGACAAGCTTTAGTGACTGCTATTAAAAAATCATCCATTGACTCTGTTGGAGTGAAGATTATTTTGTCACATATTTCTGTTCTCTAGTTTGGAAAAAGATGTAAACATTTCCCTTTTCTGTATTACTAATGACAATTCTACTGTGTCCATCTATTAATGGAAAATATAATTGTTAGGATTCCACTTGTTCTTGATATCCTCAATAAAAAGGAGTCTGTCTTTTAACCCTGTTGGCTATAGATGTCACTTTGTGCCCTCTTGCTTCCCACATCAAACTTCTACATTTCCTAGCTTCTGATTTATGTTCACTAATATCAACTTCCCCTTTTTTCTATTTGTTATATAGTTTATCAGCTTTTGCTTCCCTTCTCATGTAGGCAATTTTTTAACCCTTTTAAATCTTCTCTCTCATCTGTTGGATTGTGCCTTTTGGGGCATTTCGTAGAATGTTTTTAAACAGCTTGCCATTATTCTTCACATTCTCTTTTCTCCGAGTTAATTTAGCTCAATTGCTTTCAGTTTTATGAAATTGGAGCCCTTTTCAAACATCCAGTACATATCACTAGTGTGGACTTTATTCTGTTTGTTTCATTTTGTTATGTGCATTCATGATCACTTGCACCTAAAAAAACCACCAGTTTTTATTTGAGATCACAACAATGTCTAATATAAAATAACCCCCACCTGTATGCAACGCTTAAAGTTAGGATATTGTCATCTAGATTTTTTGTTTTTTAAGAAGTTGTAAGGATGTTTTGTTACAGGCAGCATGAGAATCACCAGCATATGGTGCAGTTTTCCTTACACACACTAGAGAAATATCTTAAGGACTCCTGTTCCCTAATGTGATTTGGTGGCTTGTAGCTGACACTAACCAGCATCCCCATCTTATGCCTTCTCTGCTAGAACAGGGGCTCACCAATTGTGGTATATGTATCAGCTTGCTGAAAGAGGTCTGCCAAAAACTCTTAAACCTTCACTCACTTTCAAACACAGAGTAGTCTCATGCACTGCAGCACACCAAAATATACCCCAGAAGCAAAATGCACTCTCCTGGCTTTCTGCCATAATACTGTAGTGAAAATAAAGCTTTCCCACCATGCTAGCGTAGTCTTATGTATCAGTGTTGTGTGCTGTGGCTGTGCAGATGAGCACTGTACTCATTTGGCCCACTGCTGGCTTTCTGCTAGGCCTAATATTCAGTTTGCGTTGAGTTATGTAGCTCAATCTACCAAGGTGAAGTTCCAGGTCCTGCCCCGCAAGCTCCCTTCATCTGAAGAGATGAATGCATACATAGCTACTTGAGTGGCTCCAAACCTGCAGCCACAAGGGATATAGCTACACTGCAGGTGGGAGTCCTTTGATATCAGGGCTCCTGGAGTATGTCTAAACTGCAGCTGGCAGTGAGCCGCTAGCACTGAGAGGCAGGGCTTGCCTGGGCTATTGCCTACGATCTCTGTCCCCTTCAACTTTCCTGCAATCTAAAATCCTGACTACAGGACTAAGGGGAGTTGCCTGGCTCCTCAGCAGAGGAGCAGGCAGCTGTCTGCAATTTGAGCCTCCTCCCAGCACAGCTAGCCCCTGTGCAGTATACTCCGAAATACAGGCATCAAGGGGGCCAGAGATGCCAAGGAGAAGAGGCTCCTGGAGCTGAAGTAGCCTAGTGCCTAGATAAAGCTCCCCACCCCCATTCCCTGCTTCCCTTTCCAGCCAAGGCTAGCTTGTGTTCAGCAATAATCCAGATACGAACTACCAGGAACTTTGAGCTTAGAAGACAAGTAAAAGAGTCTCTTGCATCTGAAGAAGTGAGGTTCTTACCCACGAAAGCTTATGCTCCCAATACTTCTGTTAGTCTTAAAGGTGCCACAGGACCCTCTGTTGCTTTAAACCATTGACTATAGCTCAGCTGCACTCCCCAAAATGGGATCACAATGCTATTTATGAGAAATGTATTGTTTCTTGTAAATGGAGTAATGCACAGGACATCATAGTAATGGCTGCTTCCTTGTTTGTTTTTGACGCATGTCTAGAAGCCTGAGCTGTTTAAAAAGGATGTTTATAAGTGAACATTTCATTTTAGGCTTCCTGGTGAGTCATTTGTTTTACTATGTAGTCTGGAAAAATGTAAATTAGGCTTGTCAGGACCTGAAAGAAATGTGCACAAAAAGGAGAAGTTTGCACGTGGTACTTCAAATATCAATTCTTTCAGAAGGTGGTAGGTATGTAGACCAATAATGGTTAGAAATGCCGGTGCTAGGATACTGATACAAATGATCTTGAATCCTTATGGATCAGAGTTGTCTGTGATTTGGAAACCGATAACGCCATATTTGACAGTGCCATTCTCCCCTCCGTGCACTCCTAAATAGGTTCAGCCAGTGACACTCATATACCGCTTCAAATTGAACACCTGCTACAAAGCAAAGAAGTGGGGTGCTAGGATGTATAAACAGTGAAATAACCTACACCACAACGATGGGTGGTTGAGGAATAGTTCTGCTGGATCTCCATTTCATTTGGATATAAGGCAAGACCCATAAAATGTTTCTACATGTGTAGATTTAAAAGTGGAGTGAAGACACCAAGACCTTAATTATAGGATAGAAAATAACTAGATGAAGCACAAATGGAGCTGGGAAATCTATTTACACTGAGGGATAAGGGCATAACCTAGGAGCATGGTGTGAGATTAGAAAAGGAGAGATTTACATTGGATTTGAGAAAGGGATTGTCCCCTCGGGCACATCATTGGTATGTGGGATAGCTTATTACAATAGAGCAGGAACTATTTGTGGGGGGGTTAAAATTCAGAGTAAATAAATGAAGAAAATCATCATGGGATAAAGTTAGAGACGTTAGGACTTCTGCCCACAGTGGATGGACCATTCATTGATTCCCTGTGCTCTAAACTTTCTCCATTGCTATCAAAATGCATTAGTAGCATTTTACCTTATTTCATGCCTCTAAAACTATTTTGGGGTGGATGACTGCAGTCATTTGTGATTGCAATATATTAACTCAAGCACCTAGAGTGCCTAAAGTTAAGCTCTCAAATCTGTGTTTAGCCACCTAAATAAGTTGGCCTGTTTCTCTTCTCCTCTCCCCATTTCCTAAAGTATCCAGCAGCTCTTACTGAAGTCAATGGAAGAGGTTGGATGCTCTGTCTCCCTTCTGAAAAATCAAGCCCTTTAGACAGCTAATCATGGATTTAAAGGCATACTTAAAAATAAATAAATAAATCTGTGCTATGTCAGGTGAGGAGGGTGTAACACTCTTCTGTGCTGAGAAGAGAGACTGAACCTTATTTCCATCCTGGCCCCAGCACCTGCTCCTTTTGTATTTAATGTATAGATTGGTGGATTGCAACTGAATGAGTCTGTAACACTTTTTTGCTTGATGCATGGACAGAACTGTGAAAAGGTGCTTAAATGAGAGTAACCAGGAGAAAGATGGGGTGTTTTTTTAAATGCCTGAATGGGGGAGGACAAAAAGGTTGTGTGAAGATTAGGTACAGAAAAAGGCACATGCTGAATGCATTTGAAATGGAAACTAAATTGACTAAGGGATCTCCTGAGGGTTTTGATGCACATGTAATTCCAATTGACTTCAAGAGTGCACACATGCAGCAGCTGAAGTAAACCCTAAATGTCAAGTTTCTGAACAGCATTAATAGCAAATAAGATTCAAAAGGAAATTCAATGTGCCTGTTTACAAATACAAGTTTAGCACAGACAGAAGTGATGGAAATAAGCGAGGCTTCAGGCTAGTAACTGGGGTATTAATAATCAAAGGGATAATCTCTACTACTAATATATAAAGCAATGAACAGCTGGTGCTATTGATTGAAATGCTAAACTGAATGTTGCTCTTGTGAGTCTCACATGGGTTGGAGTTGTCCTTTCATTACTGGAAGAATAATGTAAAGACAGAAAAGCGCCCTTCCACACACCCCCAGCTGACCTATGACTTTGGGCAGGGGGGTAAATTAGCCAAGTCTGATCTAGAGGCAAACAATGACAATGGGGGATGGGTCCTGGATTTCCTCTCCTGAAAGCAAAAGAATGAACTGATGTAAACAAGGGGTTTTAAACAAGTCTTCTATTAACAAAATAATGGGCCATAGTCCTGAAAGGACTAGCATAATCTGAACCCACCTGCTTAGAGCGGCAATAGAAACAGCCAGGGAGAGCAGAAGAGACTGAAGGCGAATCCAGGATAGCAGCTACTGCTCTAAATGGTTTGGCACACATAAACCGCTGGGGCGGTGAAGATTGAGATTAAGGCTGATGGGTTTCTCCTGGTTTGACAGGACCAATGTCTTGTTCCAAAAACCCTTATTTCCTCCTGTGACGAGCCCTGGAATGATTTAAGGAGTTAGCAAACAGACAAATCTTGTTTTGCAGTGGAAGCATAACCACACAGACCCCTCCCCCCCCCAAAATACCACCACCCCCTCTCTAATCCTTAACGCCTAGCACACCCTTGCTTTTAGCAGATACTTAAAGCCACCTGCAAAAGAAAAGCCGCGTGCTTCTGATGAAGATGATTAACTGGGACGATCTCTCAAATCTCTAATGCGCTGACTTGCTCCCCCCCGCCTAACGAGAGCCGGTAGTTAATATTTCACCCTCCTGCAAATTTGCTTTCAGGAGAATAGAAGGGTAACCCTGGGTTGGCCTGTCAGTCATGTCCAATGATGACGTTGGAAACGCTACCCCAGGCTCTTCTTAGCCGATCGCACGCGTGTTGCTGGCACAGAGCAGGTTGAGAAACAGAAGTTTTCATTCTCTCTCTCCCTCTCGCCCTCTAGTGCCGTAGCCTGGAGCACGCGACACACACAAAGCGGGCTCTTCTTGCTGCTTTCATTCAGTCTGTTAGAAAGTTGCAGTCAAGTGTTTTATCATCTGCATCATGAATCTAACGGCTGCAAACCACCGCATACCTCTGAGCGATGGGAACAGCATCCCCGTGATTGGACTTGGCACCTATGCTGACCCCAGAAAAGTAAGTGTCTATCCTCTACCTTTCCTTTTTATAAACACACTTATGGCTCGGAGCAGGCTGCGAGACTTTGTTCTGAGCACAAAGATCCAGAGGACTGTTAAGTTGATACTTTCCTTTCAGAGGCACTGCTGACTTTCGCACGTGCCTTACAATGCCTTTCTGCTGGCATTCTGGAGGGTTCTTTAAATTTAAGATTGGCCACACTTTGCCTGAACTGCTAACAATCTACAAACATCTTCTGTGGTCCTCTCATTCAATTTACTGTGCAGACTTTAAAACCTCCAGTTAACAATGGTGTTTTCACATCCTGAAAGCAGGAAGGACTAAAAATATTATAGCAAAGTTTGGACTCTTTGTTGCTAACTTCCAAATATTCACAACTCAGTCGTTTACAGCAGGCAACCAGTGATTGAAATGCAACTAAAGCATTGGATAACTCCTACCCCAAGTAATCTGTTCTCTTTAGGAATACTGAATAATCCCTAGCATTGATACAGCATTTTACATCCTTAGTACTTTACAAAGATTCCCTTGTTATCTGGGTTGATAGCTAGCTACACACCATGATACAGGCATATTTAATTGAAACTTGATAGGGCAGGCTGGCATTTGTCTTACTGTCGTTCAGTCCTGTATTGTTATAAGATATACGGTACACAGACACTTTGAGATAGGCGTGTACTTGGAGACCAGTGTTCTGTCCTCCTATATATGTTTTGTTGGCAAATTCTGCCACATACAACTCTGACTTCATTAAGGTTGCACAGGCTGCTAATCAGGAAAGTTTTAAATTATTGCTAGTCATCTTGGCAGCTGCAGACTGGCTTTAGCTTAGTCCTGAGTTCCCAGAAACTCTGATTCCAGCTGAATCTGTTGAGGAACAGATGCTGGAGAGCAAAGTATGCTTGCTGCACAGTGACTGGGAGACCATCTGCCTTCCCTAAACTCAGTAGCCTTCAAGTGCAAGCAATTTCTGAGGCTGTGACCTGGTAAGCAGACCTGCTGTGCTGAGCAAAAAGAAAAACTCAGTTTTCTTGTAGACCATCTTACAGCTGGCTTGGACACTTTCAAAGGAATATTCCTTTGACAAAGACTGATTCCTACATACTGATTCCTGTGGCTCCCAAAAGCTTAAAAGGTTCCAAAATATTCTGTGCTCCTTGATGTGATGTCCTGGGTATATAGCCCATAGAACCTTTGCTGCATCACTGCCATGGAAGCATATGTGATATCTCTTCTGTTTCCACACCGGGCAGTGCAATATGAACAAATTGGCTGCCTCCCTCTCAAATTACAGAGTTTTTGATTTGCTCTCTGTGTCATTGTCCTGTGTGAAGCGAGATAAAAATTGTGGGCAGAACCCTGTGCCCCGTAGTACAGTATTGGAGTTAAAATGAACAACTAAGTGTGAGTCAATCACCTGCTATGAAGGTGATTACTTGGCCAACAATGATCTTTGTACTTTAGCATATACCAACAAATGAATACACCAAGGTAAGTATGATCAAAGAGAAAATCCCTTTTGAATGAACATAGCATTGTTGCAGGCAGTACAAGAGTGATCATCACTGAAGGCTTCAGATTGTCTGAGTTAAGACACTGTTGCAGAAGAAGGGACACAGCAGTGAGAGAGGTTCTCACACCCAGATACTAGCCCTAGAAATGGGGGGAGTGATGCCTAAAGTCCTCCAACAGCTTTACAATTCCATCAGATGAATATTCAGAAGGTAATTGATGGGTGGCTAATAGAAAGTTAAGACTGGATTATTTTTGGCAAGTGAAACATGTTGTAGCAAAGCAGAATGTCTCCCCCCAGTCTCCCAGTTTATGCAACAATCTGGCAAATATAACACCTTACTTCAGCCATTTCACACTCTGCTTAGCACCAGTTGCTCTGGGCACCTAAAGTTTAGGGCTAGGACATCAGCCTTAGGACATCTTCCAGGTGCCTCACCCTCTGTAAACTGGATGGGAGTCAGGTGTTTGTGGCAGGGAGAGGTTGGACTCATGAGAGGGCTAGGCATTTGAGAAGGGTCAGGTCACTTCTCAAGGGAGAAGTGGAGAAACTAGGCAGTGGGGAAAGGGGTGGTGGAAATGGGGGCCATGGCCCCAACCCTTTTTTTTTTTTTCTCATCCTATTACTGGCCATAAGGGTGAGCAATGGGGGAGGGGGCAGAGAGGAACAAGCAGGGTAAGGGGCACTGTGGGGGCGGAGGCCACGGTTTGGGCAGTGGTTTCCCCCACACACACACACTTGTAGGGAGCTTCTGCTGCTCCTGGGTGGATGTTAATGAACGCGCTAGTGAGAATTGCAGGAGTGTTTTGCATTGGTGACTGGGGCTGTGGCTACATTACAGAGCTTACCGCAGCACCGATGCAGCTGCAATGCTGCTAGTGCAGGGGCTCTAAGCTGATGGGAGAGCTCTCTCCCACTACCACTCCTCACAGGGGCTGGAGTAACTATGTCAAGGGATAGGGTAGAGGACAGGACACCTGAGTGGGTAGTGGTTAAAGGTTCAGCAGTTTGGAGATGGGCAGCTCACTTGCTGGGAGAGTTGCAGGGAGAGTCTGGCATTTGTCAGTTGGCAGGTGATATCCTGACTAACTTACACTGCACTACAGACAAGTTGATTTGCCTGAAAGTTCTAGCCATCCTGCCTTCAGGACCTGTGGAAGAGCTCTGTGTAGCTCAAAAGCTGTCTCTCAACAGAAGTTGGTCCAATAAAAACTATTACCTCACCCACCTTGTCTCTAATCTCCTGGGACCGACATGGCTACAACTACAACACGTACTACACACATTTTACCAGGAATAGAATTGGACAGTTAAGTAATCTGATAGTCTTAGTGAAAGCCTTTTCTAAGTAAAGGGGGATTTTCTCATCAACTGGATACAGATCAAGAGTACAAAAATAATTATTTTATCCCTCCGGCAATGGCTTTGTGCTTTATCCTCCATAACCCATGGTCTGAGAATTCAGTATTGATTCAGTATCAGCAGCCACACTTGTGGTGAAATAATTCCTTTTCACTGGAGTATAGTCCCCTATGCCTTCGTCTACACTACAGAATTACTTCAGTTTAACAACATCACGCAGGGGTGTAAATAATCCACAACTCTGAGTGCTGTAGTTCAGTGATTTTTCAAACTGCGGGTTGCGACCCAGTACTGGGTCACAGAATGTAAGGCACTGGGTCACGGTGGCTCTGGTCAGTACCACTGACCAGGCCATTAAAAGTCCCATCGGCAGTGCTGCCCGGCTAAGGCAGGCTAGTCCTTACCTTTTCTGACACCGCGCTGTGCCCTGGAAGCAGCAGGTCCAGCTCCTAGGTGGGGGCGGGGGGGGGCAGCGGCACGGGGCTCTGCATGCTGCCCCTGCCCCAAGCACTGGCTCCACACTCCCATTGGCCAGTTCCCGGCCAATGGGATCTGCGGGGGACAGTGTCTGCGGGCGAGAGCTGTGCAGAGCCGCTTGCGTGCCTCCGCCTAGGAGCTGGCCCTGCTGCTGTTCGCTTCTGGGGCGCAGAGCAGTCTGCAGTGCCAGGACAGGCAGGAAGCCTGCCTCTGCACCCCCACTGCGCTGCTGACTGGGAGCCACCCAAGGTAAGCCTGCACCCCAATCTGCTGCCCCAGTCCTGAGCCCCCCCAAAACCTGGAGCCCCCTCCTGCACCCCAAATCCCTCATCTCCAGCCCCAGACCAGAACTTGCACCCCCAGCCCAGAATCCTGACCCCCTCCTGCATCCCTACCCCAGTTCAGAGCCCCCTCCCACGCCCTGAACCCCTCATTCTCACCCCACAGCCCTCATCCCTGCACCCCAACCCTCTTCCCCAGCCCTGAGCCTCTCCCACACCCCAAACCTCCTCATCCCCAGCTCCGTTGGGTCACGGGCATCAACAATTTTCTTCAACTGGGTTGCCAGAATTTTTTTTTTTTTTGAAAACCACTGCAGTTATACCAACCTAAGCGCCAGTGTAGACATCACTCTGTTGGCAGGAGAGCTTCTCCCACTGACATAGCTACTGCCTCTTGCAGAGATGGAGTAACTAAAGGCTATGTCTACACTACACAGCTTTTAGCAACGTGTCTGTGTCGCTACAGCCATGCCATTAAAAGTTGCACAGTATATCCACTGTTTGTCGGGTCTCCTGCAGACAAAAAATGTCCACCCCAATGAGCGGCGTTTGCATTGTTGGCTGGAGAGTGCTGTTCACGCTAGCGCTTGTTGTCATCAAAACTTCATCTTTCAGGGGGTTTTGTTTTTTGTTTTTTTAACACCTGTGAAAGACAAACCTTTTGTCATTCAATTGCCAGTGTAGACATAGCTTAAGAATAGGATCAAAAGGTTTTCTTGTTAATGCTTTACTATTTTAATTGGTCCTTCTAGTCACTTTAGAGATGTGACTGAGTGCAAGGGCCAGTGTTTACAGGTGACTTTGGCCATGTTAGTCTTAATTTATCTCTGACTCAACCTTGATAATTACTGACCTGAGGTAAAGAACAAGGTAGCTGTTGGGTCTATTAAAAAGGCTAGTGTACCGGAGATTCCTAAAGAACTTGAGGTCTCCTTGGAAACAATGAAGGTTGGGCTCTTGAAGTCAAGAGGCCCTTTTGTAGGGAGGAGAAGGGAAACTCTGCAGGAGTCACTAGTCCACTTCAGTCCTTTTCCCTTCAAAATAGGTCAACTGTCTTTTTGCCACAATACCTCACATCCAGCATAATGAAAACCTCAGATGAGCTATCCCACTTCCAGATGCTTCTGGAAGCTGCCAAAGTGCAGCACTCACAAGACTTCCAGTACATCCTCTTCTGGTCCTAACTGGAATCTACCTTTTCGTTCCGCAAAATGAAATACCTCTATGAAAGAATACCTCCAACCTCAAAGGTCACACTTGAATGGATTTGAGAGCAGAGTGAGTAATTGCTACATGAATTAACTCCCATCATAATTGTGCTCGTTGTGTGTATTTAGCATAAATATTCAGCCAATAGAGGTCAC